CCCTTCAAGATTTCGGTCACATCTATGGAGGCCATTTTTGCTATAATACAACTTCTACCAAAGCAGTATACGAGTGATCTCAAGCATAAAAGTAGAAACACGAGGAAAAAATAGACATTAATCACAGTCCAAATGGGAAGCAAATTAATTGGTGCCGCGTGCGCGACAAATTCGATTCGTGAACATATTTCAATCACCAGGACACCCAAAAAAGAAGAGAGCGCCTTACTTTTGGAAAGTGATTACGACTTCACAAGCTTGTGCTCTCTGCAGTACTGACAGAAGACAACGATAATTCTCAAAGCGACGAAATTCCGCCTTTTCGCCGCGCGCGGCGAAAATTTTGAATAATTTGACGATTAGCGCTGGAGCACTATTTTCTCATTGGGCCACTTCCCGCAAGGCACTCTCTTGCACTTGACGGAATAAGGTGCAGGATCATCAAAATGTGCTAGTGCGTCAAATGTATACTCCACTCATCTATATTCCACTTATCCTTACAATAGGTATTGCTGCAAAACTAGTGGGATGGGCACATCGAATTTCTTGAATATGGTAGGCACGAAAATGCGTGCAAGTGGAGGGTTGCTGCCTGTCCGCATCTCAAGTGACTACCCCTACCCCTCTAGATTGACTACACTCCTTCAGATCACGAATCCCCGGTTACAAGGCTTCTGTCAACCAAAGGGTGAGAGCGTAGCTGGAAAAGCACACACTTTGTGTCTTATTGGGACTAAGCCTTTTGAAGAAGATAAAGAAAGAGGAGATGCTGTGATAGTGTGCACTTGTGAGAGCTCCCAGACATCACTACAAAACGCTGAACCGCCAAGGCTCACGGTTGACAGATGTCCTGAGACCCGAATTCCCTCAATTAACGTGACAGTCCGCAGATACATTTTGCGCCTACCGTATTCGAAAATTACGGCGTGCCCATCCCATTTGTATTGCATCTAAGGTGTTCCTTATCCATTCAACGGAACGACAGTGATAGTACGGGACCAGAAGTGGCATTGGCTCACACA